TGACATGGGTGCACTTACATACATGCAGACAATACATTCATACACATAAATAAAAATAATAAATAAAATGTTTTTTTAAAAATATGCAACAGAGACTGAGGAGACGACTCAGTCCATAAAATGCTAATTGAGCAAGCGTGGGGACCTAAATTTGATCTCCAGCACTCATGTAAAATGCTGGACACCATAGCACCCACCTGTAGTCCCAGCACAAGGGCAAGTAGAGACAAGATGATCCCTGGGATTTTGCTGGCCAGACAGTCTAGCTGAACTGGTGAACTCCAGGTTCACTGAGAGACCCTGTGTCAAAAAAAAAAAAAAAAAAAAAAAAAAAAAAAAAAAAAAAAGATAGAAAACAATAAAGGAGACACCTGACATGACCTCTGGCTTCCACAGTCCATGTACACACATGTGCATGCACATACATGTGCACACAAGTTCAACAGCAGGAAAGGGTGTGGCCCCAGCTTACCTCATGAATGAGAGTCTAGTCTAGTTTGTGTTGAAGCAGGGTGGAGCTGAAGGACCATCCCTTCCCCATCACCCCACCATACTGAGCCATGCTCTCATGCTCTAACCTAAAGGTGGAGCAGGGTAGGTGGTAGGGCCTTGGGAGTTCAAGGCAGCATTAATTATGTAAGCGACACCAGAGTGTTCTAGGGTTTCACCAGCTAGAAGGCATGGCAGCTGTATATCAGATGTTCTCAGAGTGCTTGTGAGAAGCAGTTTGGTTAGTAAAAATCCCACTGATATGTCATGGGGAACTCCAGTTGAATCAAAGCTGTGTCTCTTATTGACTACACAAAGTTCAACAAGACAGGAACATTTTTCTTGTCTCCAGATGAAGAAGTTTTCACCATTTAATATTTAATACCTCTTGCTCTAAACTTTGAAGAAATAAAAAAATCCAGGAAGAACAGTTCCAAACATGCAATGCCTTTGTGGTGTGTGTGTGTGAGGTGTGTGTGTGTGTGTGTGTGTGTGTGTGTTTATGTTGTTTCTGCCTTCTTCAACTGTCTCGAACAAGAAAAGCCAAAGAATTGACTTTGGGGAAGGATTTGAAAGAGTTAATTTGGGCAGCATGGCGCACATGATATAATTGTAGAAAGTGTTGGGAGGAAAGAAGATGAATTTGAATTCTGTCTAGGATACCGTTACATTTATTCCTTTATTCACCAAATATTTATGGAGCCCTTCTCAAGCACTGGGCACTGTTCTTGGCTCTGAGAATGGAAGGGAATTAATTAAGGCCTCTACTTTTGTGGAGTGTATAAAAGAAATTGGGTAAGTCACTAAATCTTTTTGGACCTAGCTTTGTTTGCCTGTAAATTTTTTTCAAAAGTTTTAAAATTTTAGTTTGTGAGTATGAATGTTGTGCCAGCATGTTTGCAAATGCACCACGTGTATGCAATGCCTGTGCACAGGAGGCCAGAACAGGCCAGAAGAGGGTATCAAATCCACTGGGACTAGAATTAGGGACAGTTGTTAGATACCATGTAGGTGCTGGGATCCAAACCCAGATCCTCTGCAAAAGCAGCCGGTACTCTTAATCACTGAGCCATCTTTTTAGCCCACCTGTAAATTTTTTGATGGTAGATGGCATTGATATAATCTCTCCTTACTCTCCTCCTGTGACAGACATCACTAAGCAACTACAAATGATCCTTGACTTATGATGGATAGAATTTTTCAATTGTGTGTGCCTTTGTATGCATATGGAGGCCAGAGGAGGGTATCAGGTGTCCTTTTCTTCTACACTTTGCTTTATTCTTTTGAGGTCAGGTCTTTCCCTGAACGTGGAGTTTTCTTGTTTTGGTTAGACTGGCAGCCAGCATTCTTTAATGATGATCCTGTCTGTACCTCCCACAATGCTGGGGTTATGGGTTCCCAGAAGACCCCTAGGGTAAGTACCTAGATCTGAAATCAAGTCCTCATGGTGATATAGCAAGCATGCTTAACCACTGAGCAATCTGGAGTTTTCGACTTCTGACAGTGGGAAATCATACCTATACAACCACTGTACTTTTCACTGTTAGTAAAGCATTCAGTGTTATTTGAGAGAGCCACACCTCATTATAAAATAGGCTTTGTGTAAGATGATTTTGTCAACTGCAGGCTAGTGTATGTGCTCTAAGCACATTTAAGGTAGACCAGGCTAAGTTTTAATGATTGATAAATGCATTTCTGATATTTAATTCTTGCCATTGACATTTTTGGGGACACAGTCCCATCACAAGTCAAGGAGCATCTGTCTGACATTCCCAGCAACCGCTGTCAGCTACTAGACAATAAGCCTATATGCTTTCTTGTCCTAGATGGATCTAAAACATTACTCTTGTTAATTACTTCTAATTATGATGAAAATACAACATTGTACTGAGGCGAAAGCACAACAGAATTATTAATGCTACAGACTGTATAAGAGGACGGTCATTACTTTGATTTTGCTGGGCACAAAATCTATGTATTTTTTTAAAAATTACTTTAGATCTCTGGATGTGAGATTCCCCCACCCCGTAGTCTTTGGCTTCAGGATCTCTGCCCTTGGGTCCTTGGGTAAGGGAAACCCCTTCATGAAGCCTCTTTCTCCTAGCTTGAGGTGGGGCAGGATTGGAAACCATGTGCTATGATGAGCAAGTCTCCCATGCACTAGGTCTGCGGACAGCAGCAGCAGAAGGCCTCCTGGGTGTTAATGTAGCCAATCTGTCGGTTTGCTCAACACCAGAAGCCAAGTCAAGTTCAGACTGAAATTGGTCTTTTTGGTGAAACATTCTCTCATATTCTAAGGACATCTTTGTAGTATTTCCATTTACAGTCCTTGCTCTAGTTACTTTCTATTGCTGTGATGAAACACTCTGACTAAATCCAACTTAGGGAGGAAAGGGTTTATTTAGTTTATGCATCATTGAGAGACTTCAGGTCAGGAACCTAGAGCAGGAGGTCCTGCTGAAGCACGGACCATGACAGAGTGCTGCTTACTGGCTTGCGTCCTTGGCCTGTACTCACTCAGCCTGCTTATACAACCCAGGACCATCTGCCCAGGGTTGATGGGCTGGGCCCTTCCACATCACTTAACAATCATGAAAATGCCTCACTAACATGCCTACAGGCCAGATCCAATACAGGAAATTCCCCAGTTGAGGTTCCCTCTTCCCAGAGTTGTCAAGTTAGAACCTGAAGCTATACAATATAGTACCTATCAGCACATTCAACAGACCAGCAAGTCCTCTGTGCCCAAATTGAGCTCAAATTGAAAAAAAGTTCAAGTTTTTTTCACAGCTGGAAACTCCACCCTTTTGGGTTTCCAAATATATCTCTACGTAGATTTATACACATTGGGGGAACTGGCTTACTTAGTCATATTAAATATTCATATAAAGGCTAGAGAGTCTAAACAATGCTTCTGGGATTTTTCTAATCACATAAAACCAAAGACACCACTCTATGTGCTACAATTTCTTGTTTCCCTTTGATGAGCACTCTGCCACTGAGCTATATCTTCAGCCTCTCTTATTTCTGTTGGGGAAATGAGCTGAGCCGTCCTGCACCCCAAGCTGAGGATCCTATAATCAGTGGCAATATTGGTATTTGGTGGCTCTCAAGAAACCAACTCTTTCTTGAAGATGTCAAGAAATAGACTGCTTCCATTGTTGAATCATGGCTATTTCTAGAAAGAGAAAAGGCATCCTTATTTCAAGTTAAGTGAATATGGAAAATAGAAATGTATACTTAGCCTTTGTCAAAGCAGTAGATGTTAAAGTTAAAGCTGAAAGATCTCTGTTTTCCTTTAAACATTTGTCATGGACATGACCATGCAATGCAGAGCCCCATGTTTGTGAAAGAAAATGTAATCCTCTCTTTTTTTAAGGGGTGCTTTTTTTAAGGGCTGCCCTTCCACATCACTTAACAATCATGAAAATGCCTCACCAACATGCCTACAAGACTTTTTGTACAGGGGTAATGTGTTGAGTGTATGTAGAATCTTTGTAGCCAAACCAAAATGGCACTGGGAATGTAGCTCAGGGTTAGGGGATGTGCTAACTGTGTGTGCGAGCCTGAGTTTGATCCTCAGAACCACAAAAACAAAGCAAAACAAAAATCAGTGCAAATTTAAAAGAACAAGTTCTGGAATAAATTGCTTCAGCCTGAATCCCAGCTCCATGTCTTTTTACGCATCCTTCCCTAAGGCTCAGGTTTTCATTCTGTTAAGTGGGATACTAAAGGACCCATTTCCCTATGAAGTTTAGTGATATTGACTATGAACTGTGCTTATCATGCTGCCTAGGATGTACTAAATAATAGTTACTATGCTGGCAAGCTGTGCCTCTGTTTGCCCATCTGTAGATGGGGCATAATAATGAAGATAAAATGAAGCAACTTATGTAAAATGTTTATAGCAGTGTCCTTGCCACACTGAATTCTGTAGAAGTATTAACTTACCATTATAACACAAACTGAAAATGCTTTCCCTAGTACTAAGAGGCAGCATGCAATTAAGAACTCAAGAACAAGAACCCGCTGAAGAGGCAGCTCAATGGCAGAGTGCTTGCCTAGGTTATGCAAGGCCCTGGGTTCCATGTCAAGTACCACAAGGAAAATAATAAATAAATAAATAAATAAATAAATAAATAATAAATAAATATCCAAGTTCAAAACCTGAAACCTCTCCTTTCCACTTCTGAACTTTGTGAACTTAGAGAGTTCTAATATGGGAGAGGGTTAAAACTCCTAATTCCTAACAGCCTTAGTACTTCCCTTCTGCAGAATGAGACTAATAGCAGTATCTATTTCCTAAGCTTGTAATGAAAACTATTAAAGACAGTCTTGTTCATGTGCTTAGCACTGTGATGCCTAGCTTCGATTCACTGTTCCTTGAATGCTTGTTCACATTTTTAGGTGATCACATTTGACTCGAGCAGGGGGGTGAGGGTGCCAGGAGGGTGTCATGGGAAGGCATACTTCTCTGCAGAGAACTGAAGGCAGTTGTGTACTGTTTACAGACGCCGTTGTCTTCCTGAACTTTCCTTATGCCTCGAGCGGAGAAAACACAGGCATCATGAAGAAGCTCCTGAGGTTCCAGAACCGAGAGCTGGAGGCCACTCGGAGCCAGCGCGTGGACTACCCAGTGTAAGGGTGTGCAGGACATGGGTTAGTGGGATGAGATCTTTTTATCTGACCACCTGGCAGGATGATGGAAGAACCCCTGAGGTCAGGACACAGCTTGGGATGGTGCTTTGCACAATTGCTTAGAACTCCTCAGCTTAGAGAATTTGTGAACTTGGAAATCTTAAAGTAGGGGTGAATTGTTTTGCATGTAGCCTTCCATTTTCCTTGGTCTTTATGTGCTGGTCTCCGGAAAGGTGTGAGCGGGCAACTAGGTGTTGAAGCTTGACTTTTCAGGCCTTGTGAGGTTTCTGGTGCAGCCAGCCAAAGCCAGCAGAGTGTAGCCATGACCTTGGCCCGTTCTATCCTGGAAGATTGCGTGAACTTCTCAGAGGCTCAGAGCTTCTCATCTCCTCCATTGATTTCAGCACAATCACATCTATCTATTTTTCCTTCTGCTGAGCCGGAGATGCTGGAAGAGGCTCCTCACTCACCCTCAGATCAGATGGATTTAGCAGAGCGATTTAATTCTTCCTGTGCTGCTGGCTGTAGAAAGATCTTGAGTCACTTACCTAGCATATGTTCTTGCTGAGCTTCCTTGTAATAACTTATCTTCATGAGCTTGCTCAGCTGGGCGGGTCAGGAGGGAGCTTTGTGATACTATCTGTTTGCATATTGTGCCACTGACTTCAAGCCTGGATTATAAAGCCCGGAATATTCTCAAGGAGTTCTCTGGTTGTATCCCCTTAAAGAACTGGGGCCATGGCCACTTTAACCCATTGTGAATTGACTGCTGGGTTAAATGGGAGAGAACTAGATGCATTTGTTTAACCTGGAGTCATATGTCATACAGAAAATGTACCAGTTCTGATTTGTCTTTTAACTATTAGTCTCTAACACAATGTGGGGCCTCCAACAGGTGTTCAGCAAATATTTCCCGTGTGACTGATGGATCACATATCCTGGTTAAATTAACGTCTACAATTTTGTCCTCACTGTAAAAATCACAGATGTACAATATTGTATGTGTGTGTCGGGGGGAGGTATATGCATGTCCATATGTGTGCAGGTGGACTTGTGTACATGCATGTGAAGGCCAGAGGTCAACCTTGGGCTGTCCACTTTGAACTGTCCACTTTGTTTATTGAGATACGGTCTCTCACTGTCCTGGAACTTGCCAGCTAGGCTAGGTTGGCTGGCCTAAGTGATTTCCTGGACTGCACCTATCTCCACCTCCCCAGGGTTGGGGTTACACCACTCCTGGCTTTTTACCTGGGTACTGGGGATCCAACTCAAGTATTTATGTTTTCAAAGCAAGCACTTTCCCCAATGGAGTCATCAATCGACTCACCCCAGGCACCTTTTGTTTTTCAACTGAAATAGCCCCAAACGGTAGTGGAATAATTAGATGAGTTGTTTCATATTGGTCAGCCAGAACTGGGCTACTGAGCACCCTAACTTGAGCCTTAAGATGGTATGTTTGTATCCACTTGTCACGTGGTAATGCCATTTGCAGATCATTACATTTTTCTACCATAGAGCTTATCTTTGAAAGAAACAAAATTGCTCAAACAGCTTTAATTATGTTTTTTTCCTTTAACCATAGATATTACAATAGCTTTTTATCAAATCACCTCATTAAAATCCATAATTTTATTCACTGTCTGGCTTTATCAGCCTTAATCAAGAATTCAAATGGCTGGCATGTGAGAGTCTCAGAGAAGCCCTAAACAGTTTTGGGTGCAAGATAGAATGTCTGCAAGTTTTATACAAAGAAGCTTAACCCCTTTCTTTGCAGTTACTATAACTACCTCTTTTGTCTCAACATCTTAGGCTTTGCAAGCTGATCTCCCATGATGAACGCTAAGGGAAAGCCGTCCCTTCATTGGAAAGAAAGCAATTTACTCGGTCATTGTTAACTGTAATTACCTGTTCTTGGATGATGCCAATCTGCAGAATTTTCTCCCCACTCTCTCTTCTAGGTTTACCGTTTCATTGTGGCTTTATTTACTTCACTACTGCAAGGCCAATCTCTGTGGAATTCTGTACTTTGTTGATGCTGATGAGATGTACGGTACACCTTCTATATTTCTTACTGAAGAGGGTGAGTATAAACAGACTTTGTAAAATGATATTGTAATTTTCTTATTCTCTGTCTGCTGGCTGATACATCTGCCTAGGATGAGGAAGATGTAATGCAGTAGCTTCCTGAGGTTAAAAACGTGTATTATTCTCCAAGCTGTCAGAGCAATTGTAAGGGCATTGTAATTATACCACTTACTTAAATGTATAATCCAATAAAATAGGCGTGGGGAAGGAAGACTTGCTCCTTCGATTAAACAACAAGTTGATTATTTTGAGTAGACTCAGTAAGGAAATGTTACTAAAAAATGATTGTGGAATTATGACAACCATAAAAGGTTGAGAAAATAAAGAGACCTAGATGGGTATTAGGCTCAGGCTGTTACACTAATGTCTTTGTTTTCTTTTCATGTGGAAAAAAATAGAAATTGAGTGTTGTTTACACAGATAAGACCATAGGGAACCAACCAGAAGCTTCAAATTAAATTTTTTTTGTAGGAACTCAAAACAAATATTTACAAAGAAATGCATTTATAAATGTATTTATTTGTTTGTTTTGCTCTTTCTTTTAAGACAGTTCTCCCTCTCTATGTAGCCCAGGTTGGAACTCTCTGTGTAACATAGGCTGCCCGGGAACTAGAACTCTATCCTCCTGTCTCAGCCTCAACCTCTGCTTCTGAGATTACAGGTGTGCACCACTGTGCCTGGCTTTGCCTTTGCCCTTGTTTAAAGGGGAAAAAAAAAAAAACCCAAAAGGAATGTAATTTACCCTTGTAACTTCTTGGGACAGTCATTGAGAAAGCATAGCTTCTTCATGTACTAAGTGCTTTTTGCCATTTTCAAACTGCCTACATTTCCTTGTAGGCAGTTTGCATATTCAAATGCATCTTGTCAGAGGAGAAGACTTGGCTGTCAAAACAAAATTCACCCTACCTCTGAAGGAGTGGTTCCGACTGGATGTCTCTTTCAATGGAGGCCAGGTATATGTGCGGGTGCCCCACCCCAGGCATGGACACCTCATCCATGCTAAGCACTGCTGAGAAGTCGGTCAGCAGCAATCCTGAGAGGGAATCTGGTGAATGAGGAGCCTACAAATATGCACTTGCTAAATCAAACTTTATAGATGGAAGTTTAAATCAAAAGAGTCTCATCCCATTTAATTAACTTTTAAAGTGTTTCTTTCCACTCTATGGTGAATGAGTAAATAATATAGCCAGCTCTATAGCCACAATTATCTGAGTCATTCAGCCCCTTTTCCCTGGGGAGATAGGCTTTGTGGAAATAAGTGTTAAAACAGGACTGGCCATGTTTACATGGCGTTATCAGATCTACAACTTACTTTTTTTTTTTTTTTTTTTGAAGGGAATTTATTGGCTATTCAGCTAAGAAATGGCCCGACTGCTTTTGGCAGTTGAAACAATTGCTTATGTTTGGCACTAAACATACTCATAATAAGCAGCGTATATGTGATGTTTCTGATGGGTCTTTATCTATTTTGCACGTAAAGCATTGCCCATAACTGTTTCAAACTCTCATAACAAAGATTTTTATGGATTGCAGAAAATCTGTTGTAATTGAAGATGATTCCATCTCTCCATCGACGTGATGCCGGTGTGCTAGGTTTTTTCTGGTTACTTTATTTTCTCATCAGCTTTTTTTTATTGATTTGTGATTTTCCTGGACCTAAACTGAAGGAGGCGTTTTGTTTGTCTGGTGTGTTAGATAATACACGGTCCTTCCTTGTACTTAAGGCTTTCACAGTTCTGTTCTGAAGAGAAAAAATAAATCAGGTCAGTTCTTGCTGTCTTCCTAAGAGGACGCTGCAAGATGCTAGCTGGGAGTTTTGTATGTTTAATTTTTTTCCTTAAAAAATGTTCTGTGACATACCTGAGGTACGCATCACCCATTCTTGTGCATGTGAGGCTCATGACGTGTCACCAAGGCAGACATCAAATCATCAGAGCAAATTCACAGATCTTATTCCGCATCTGCTGTATCTACGGCACGGGCCCCAGTTGCTTATAGACTATTTATGGAAGTAACATTAAGCACGTGAAAAGAAGTCATAAGGCAAGCTTAATTGCCAAATGATTCATATTGATTTCTATAAGGAGGATGCCATTTCATGCTGGGATGCTCAGGGAAGCATTTGTGTATGGTTTTTAGGTTTGGGCAGAATTTAGATGGAAAAGAGAGGAGGAGTATTTCTGCATATAATTGGGGGCGGTCACAGATAAACCAGGTGGTTGACTGGTGTTAGTCTGTTGCTAAAACAGAATACATAAAGCAGGGTACACTATAAAGAAAAGAAGTTCATTTCTCACACTTTTGGCAGCTGTTGCTGGACATCTAGTGAGAGCCTTCTTGCTATACCACAGCACAGTGTGGGCATCACCAGATTGTGGGCAGAGAGAGTATGCTGACTCAGGCCTCTCTTCCTCTTCTTCTTTAAAAATTTTATTACATTACATCTAGTAATGTAATAAAATTACATTTAGTGTGTGTGTGTGTGTGTGTGTGTGTGTGTGTGTGTGTGCGCAGGCACATGTATGCCACAGCAAAAATGTGAAGGTTGGAGGACAACTTATGGGAGTTGGTGTTTTCCTTCTTCTGTGTGGGCCCGAAAGCCAGGTCATCATGCTTGGCAGCAAGCACCTCTGCCCATTCAACCATCTTACTGGCCCTTTCTTCTTATGAAGTGACTAATCCGGTCAAAGGGGCCTCATCTTCATGGCCTCATATGACACTAATGGCTCCCAGAGTTTTCACCTCCGAATACTATCAACCTATCAGTTCACAGTCTGTGATTTTGTAGTCTAGAAAGCTAATAGAAGAAAGAGTATTTCTCCAGGGCTGGACTGTGCAGAGACTTGAGCATCAAGGACTTGGGACTTGCCCTTGCAATGCAGTAGAGTGTCATGGGCAATGTTGAACAATCGAATAAGGTGGTCCCTTAATTACGTAGGTGGGCTGCATAGTGTAGTGTGTGATGGGATGAAACAGGAGAGAGGGATAAGAAGACCAGAAGGAGGGATGACAATAAGGGTTCTGTGTGTGTGTCTGTATATGTGTCTCTGTGTGTCTGTATGTGTCTGTGTCTGTTTGTGTCTCCGTGTATATCTGTGTCTGTGTATGTGTGTCCATGTGTATATCTGTATGCGTCTGTGTATATATGTGTGTGTATATGTGTGTGAGCCTGTGCATGTGTCTATGTGTGTATGTACCTGTATATGTGTGTGTCTATGTGTGTGGGTCTGTGTGTATGTCTGTATCTAGGTGTGTGTGTATGTTTGTATCTCTGTATGTGTCTGTGTGTGTGTGTCTGTGTGTGTGTCTGTGTGTATGTCTGTGTATGTCTGTGTGTGTGTGTGTGTGTGTTTGTCTGTACACAAGTACTTTTGCCAGTGGATTTCAGATGCTCCCAGACTGGCCTTTCCTGCTGTCTTGTCTGGAGTCCCCCATGTACACAGGCCCAGTCCTCTGTGGAGGCATTGCTACCCTGCTTTGGTCAAGTAAACTAGTCACTTAAAGCAAATGGCTGCTAAGAGAGACAACTGGTTGAGTCATTTTCTTTACATGCCCCTGTGACCAGATGAGGTTGGTTCCCAGTGATTTAGTTTGTCTTCCACAGACACTGGGTAATTTCCAAGTCTTTGAGACTCTAGAGAGGCTAGAACATGCTTGCTAAACATGTCTTCTGGAAGTATTGGAGTAAAATGTCCTTTTAAGTCCAGGGACTCACATAGTAGTCCAAGACCTAAGAAGAACTCACACAAGATCACAAACAACATTCACAATAAAGTCGTTGCCCTCACTGAAATGAGAGTGATGATTCTCTATGCTCAGGGGAAGGGAGTTGGGACCAGCGGGGCATGAAGAGCAAATGGTACCAATCTTGTTCCCCCCCCCCCAGCTCTTGTGGAATCAGTAAAACTTCAAAACCTCCTTGTACTATTCTGCAAACACCCTTGCCTTTTGTGCAACAAGTTTAGAAGCACAGACACATCCACCCAATGCCTGGCTGGGAGTCTGGAAGCATCTGAAACCCACTGGCAGAATTGCATTGTAGATATTTTTAGCCCCACCAAGTCATTTGAGGAAGCTAAATTTATTAATTCCTAAAATATGCACACAGCTAGTAAACTGTTAATTTTATTTTTATAGAAATTAATCAGGCAACAGACAAGCACATTTCATGAGTAATTTATACCAAGAACCGTATTTATAGTGTGGGATGTGCTGAGACATAACTGATCCTTGTCTCTCTCTTCCGTAGATAGTGGTCACCACCAGTATTGGACAGGACTTAAAACGCTACCATAATCAGACCATCAGGTAAGTGTGATTTTCGTTCAAAATTGGGCTACTCAATGGCTAAAGAGTCTTCATGCTTTAACCCTTCACCCTAATGTTATTCTACAAACCCCTGTTCGCTTTTCCAAGCTAGACTTCTTTGCTGTTGTTTATTTTGTTCTTGTTTTTGTTTGACATTTTCTCTATTTATTTTGTGTTTGTGTGTGTGTGCCATGGCACACATGTGAAGGTCAGAGGACAGCCCTCAGGAGTTTGTGCTCCCATATGGATCCCAGAGATGGAACTGATTTCATCAGGCTTGGTGGCAAGCGCCTTTCCCAACTGAGTCATCTCACCAGCCCATGCTAGACTTTGTACTTTTTTCTTTAACCAGGCACATACTCTCCCCATTTTCTCTGCAACCTTTTTTATTTCAAAGCAAGAGAAAAGTCAGTCCTTCCTCCAGATCTCACTGTAAATTCTTCCTTCATGGCATTTTGTAATTCATTTTCTTTGAAATTATCTTCAACGAAGGATTCTGAAGAAAATAAATCAAAGTATTAATGTTGCTTATTGAGAATGGCTGGGAACTTGAGCGTAGTGTAAAACATAAAAGCAGACAGTCTTCATATTTATGTTCATAATCTAGATTTGGAACGCGTGCAGCTATTGATACCAGCGCAACTTTTCATCACCATGTAAGCATTCTCCACAAGAGTTACGGAAGCTGAGAACTGGGCCCCTTGCCTTATGCTTTGTAATTTTAAAATTTTCTCCCATATCCACATGTAATGGTGGGATTTACAGTGACAAACACAAACAGCTCTCATTAGGTATTTGGGATACCCAGTCACAGCTAGAGGATATATATGTGTGTGTGCGTGTGTGTGTGTGTGTGTGTGTGTGTGTGAGTGTGTGTGTGTGTGTGTGTGTGTGTGTGAATATTCAAGAGTAAGCATAAAGATCAGAAATTAATGAGCAGCTTTAAACATATAACTTAAAAAATAAGTGTCAAAGTGAGGACATCTTGGTGCTTCGGGTGGGGGTGGGATGTGGTTCATGGGGGCAGTGCCTAGTGATTCCACTACAGCAAGCAGACCAAGGCTTCTCCATGCAGCCTCTACCCAGTTCTGTTCAACTTAAATTTCTCCAGAAAGTATTAAAGAAACAAGAGCAGAGAGAGGGTGAGATGGGAGAAACCCACACACTCTTTTTTTTTTTTTTAAACCATTCCCATTTACATTTAAGTCCAACTGATTTCTTATAGACTCCAGGCACTTAGAACAATTCTTATTTTTTATGGCTGGATTAAAGGATTAGAGTTTTCTAGAAAGATTAAGGTTGTGTTATGACTTACCTACAAAGAGTGGCTTGATAGCTATATTGCGGTGAAGAGAGCGAGGCGAAGGAAGAAGTCAAAGTCTTAGCGAAGGAAGAAGTCAAAGTCTTCAAGTGCAGCAAAGGGGGCCAGAAAGCATTCAACACATTCAACACGTGGCAGATTTTGTTACATAAGTGACTCTGTGTCTTCTGTGGCAAGTTCAAGAATAAAGAAGCCTGAGCATTTTCTTTAGAGACAGACTCTGGGGTGCCTTTGAAATGTGTTCTTACACTATGCTGTGTGCAGTGGGCTCTAGAAATTAAGGGTTGTTTCAAGATGTCAGGTTTAAATAGTAGTTCCTAATTTCTCTCCATCACCCTCCCCAGAATAATTTTGACAACTGCCTGGATTTTTCAGGCATCGTTTCACTTCTCGTGTAAAGTCTTCCTTTCCTATGAAATTCCAGAAACTCAGAGGCCAACATAAGCGAACGTAGGCAGAAATCACAGTGTGGTGGCCATTGGACCAGAGTGAGGGAGGAAGGGGCAGGCCTGCACATGGCATCTCAGTGGTGCCAGCAGCTTGGCACTAGGGCAGCCGGAGCCAAGTACCAAAATAGAGTGGCTGTAATAAGAGAACTTCATCTTCCCACTTCTGGAGATTAAAGTCCAAGGTCATGGTATCAGCAGGGCCACCATCCATGTGCTAAGAGCTATGGCTAGGGCACTCTCCTAACTTCTGGTGTAGTCCCCAGTGTGCCCCATATGCTATATTTCTTTTGGCTAAAGATACTGGCCATGTGGGTTAGGAGCCCTTCTTGGCAGAGGTAGGGTAGGGGTCAGTTCAAACTCAACAGTTATCAGAATAAGACATTTTAATTCAGTTTTTTATTATTTGTTGACACAATATACATATACATTTATTTTTGTGTTACATATACAAATAAAGGATACATCTTTTCTTTCCTTTCATGATAAACAGATAATTGATTACTCTAGTTTTATTTTTCATTAGGAAAAAAATAGGAAAATTAGTTGCTTTTCTTATTGCTGTGATCAAATAAACTACAAAAGCAACATAAAGAAGGAAAAATGTATGCTGGATCACATTTTGAGATTATAATCCATCATACTGGGGAAGTCATGGTAATAGGAGTGTGCTATATTTACAGCTATGATTATTAATTTTGATTTTCAACTTAATGGGATTGAGAATGTCCATGGCAACAAACCTCTGGTCGTGTGTGTGACAGAGTTTCTACACTGGCTTAATTAGGTGTGACAAGCCCCTGTAGATGTGAGGTGCACCGTTCCATGAGCTGGTGTCTTGGACTAAACGCAAAGGAGAAAGCGATCTGCGCACTAACGCTCACCTCTGCTTCCTGACTGTGGCTACAATATTTATTATATTTTAAATTTATTTTTATTGTATGTGTATGAGTGCATTGCCTGTGTGTATATAAGTGCACCCATGTTGTGCAATGCCTGTGGAGGTCAAAAAAGGGTGTCGGATCCCCTGAAACTGTAGTTACAGATGGTTGTTAGCCGCCATGTGGGTGCTAGGAATTGAACCTGGGTCCTCTGCAAGAGCAGCCAGTGCTCTTAATTGATGAGCTGTCTCTCCAGCCCCTTTAACTCAATCTTTTAAAAAGTCAAAAGGGATGCAAAGAATATATGGTGAACGAGATATCAGGCTTCTAAATAAAGACAGGACCAATGTGATCCTATTAGATTCCAGGGATCAGCACTGATTTGGGGTTTGGACCAATTCAGTATCTCAGATACAGTATCAAACAATTCTTTCTGAGTGATACTAGCAGGGCCCAACCCCACATATGCTTTACTGCCACCTGCATGTCCCTTCCGCCTAGGATACCCTGCCAGCAAACACAGCAGAGCGAGGTTCACAGGGTATGTCCCTCTCTCCTGGGGTTCCTGTGGGTAGGATCTGGAATCTCAGCCCTGGCAGAATGCTATGTTCACAATGAACCAAGCCAGTGAAGTGAACATCAAATATTTTGGACTTCCTGGTTATAGGTATTATAAGGAAAGCCTTGTAGCTCTCCTATTTCTTCTTTCAGTGTAAATATAATGTTGGCTTTATCCCATGAAGGTGGGGTTAGTGTCTGAAGACCAGGACTTAAGTGCTCAGGAGCATAGTAAACAAGTAAGAGTTATCAGTGACATTCAGTGACAGGAATGACTTCAGGTCTTTATGGTGTTAATGCATGCATGTGTGTATGCAACCATCCATCCTTTGGTTCATCCATCCATCCATCCATCCCTCTGTCCATCTATCCATGTCTTCATCCATCCATCCATCCATCCATCCATCCATCCATCTGTCCATCCATTCATCACATATTTACTGAGCACATATCACATGCCAGACACTGGGCTTGATTCTTAGAATAAAATGTTAAACAAAAGGAATGCAGCTATAAAAAGTACAAAGGAACACCGCTCCCTGCTTTCAGGAAGCTGAAAAAATCCAGTAAAGGAGACTAATATTGAACAATAAATTCAAAAATACATTTGCAATTATAGATTTTAATGAATGTTAACCTGAGAGAGTCAGACCAGGTCCTGAGGAATTGACACTTTGGATGAAAATTATGATCAGACATGAGGGATCCTTATTTTTCTCCTCCCAAAGAAACTGAAAATCCATACTGCTTCCTAATTCTGAGTGGGGCCTATCTAATGGCATCTGTGAATCTTCTGGGCCCTGGTGCCCTGCAGTAATAAACCAGTGTCCTCTATGTCCAGATAAGAGGAAAGATACTTTGCCAGCATGTCTAAGGTTTTCGAAAGAGACCTGTCTGGGCTTTGGAAGAATCTAGCTCAGCTTTTATGTCAGCAAAATTGATGACCATCAAATAGTACACAACACAAAGGATATCTGGCAATCTTTGTGCAAATACTGAGAATTTCAGAGGAGAAAAATGTGACAGCATTGCTGTAGAGATACAGATGGCGACCAAGCTAGACAAATCTACTGATGGTTGATAATGACAACATTTTAAAATTATAGGGCAGTGCCATAAGGACCAAGTAATTTATTAGTTAAAGACTCAAAGAGAATAAGGATAGACCCTTACATTAATTAATCATTTTATGTTCATTTAAAAGCATGCAGTAGTTACCCCTTATCCAACGTTTGCTTTCCATGGTTTCATATATGCATGGGCAGCAGAAATCCAAAAATATTAAGTGGAAGATTCCAGAAATAAACAATATACAAGTTTTTAAATACATATGGTTCTGAGTAGCAGGATGAAATCTTTGCTGCCCTGCTTTATCCTGCTTGGGTCATGAATCTTTCTTCTGTCTGGTGTGTCCATCCAGTGTGTGCTGTCTACCCATTAGTTCCCTTAGTCGTCAGTTTTCACACCCACTGTCAAGACATCACAGCCTTCAAATCATCCTTACTTTACTTTAAAATGCCCTAAAACAGAACAGCAGTGACTCTGGAAACTCATGACTACCAGAAAAGCTGATCAGTGCTTCTTTGAAGCATCATCTCACTGTACACAAGAGGGGTGAGTACAGTGCAGAAAGATATTTTGAGAGGAGATCGAATTTACATATGCTTATTATAGTGTGCTGTTATAATTGTCCTGCTTTATCATTTGCTATTGTTAATCCTTTACTGTGTGGAGTTTATAAATTAAACCTTATCATAGGTGTAGAGATGCAGGAACAAAAACATAGTATATACAGGGTTTGGAGCAATACAAGATTTGTCATCTGCTGGGGTTCTTGGGATGTACCCTGGGTAATTAGGGTCTACTTTGTAAGGATACATTAATTTACCCATCTTTCTAGACAGGGCTTTTCCTTTGATCTGGAAATTACATTTTGCTATAGTCTTTCCTTTTTAAAATATTTATTTATTTTTATGTTATGTATATGAGTGTTTGCCTGCATGTAGGTATGTGCACCAGATATATGCCTGGTGCCCACAGAGGCCAGAAGAAGACATCAGAGCACCGAGAACTGGAGTTACAGATGGCTGTGAGCTACCATGTGGGTGATGGGAACTGAACCTGGGTCCTCTACAAGAACAGCCAGTGCTCTTAACCACTGAGGCATCTTTCCTGCGAGGCTATGGTCTTTCTTACATAAACAGCAGACAATTTGTTTTCCTTCTCCCCAAATTAAAAAAAAAAGACACTTATGAAACAGTTTGAACCATAATCCCTTCTAGATATCTTCAGTTTATCTGGCCAAGTTTATACCCTTGTTTGTTATAATTTCATGACTAGTTTTAAATGAAATTCTCTATTGAGTCTATTCAAAGTAGTTGTGTGTGTGTGTGTGTGTGTGTGTGTGTGTGTGTGTGTGTGTGTTACTGGGGATTGAACCCAGGGTCTTGCATGCATGCTAGGTACACACTATCACGGAGCCTTTTTCCCTCACCTTTTCGTTTTAAGACAGTCTCACTAAATTATCCAGGCTAACCTTGAACTTTTGATCCTCCTGACTCATCCTCCTGTTTGGGATTACAGACCTAACTCTACTTAGTCTTTAACAGAGGGAACAGTCTTTCTTACTCCTATGTTATTAGAGTACATGTTTAAGTAAATGCTAGGATTATAATGAACATACAATTGTCAATCATTTGTTGGAGACAGAAACATGTCTTGGTCTAAGAATGCCCTTCAGATGGTAGGAACATAAGTCCAGCAGTGGGCTGAATGATCAGTAACAACTGTAGCTAACAGGTGCCTGCCATCTGCCTGACACTGTCTTAAGTACTTTGTTTATATGTTAAAGGTTGAGCACCTTAACTACCAAAATGGTTCGAAATCTGGCTATTTTTTAAGCATCAAGTCAGATTTTGGAGCATTTCATATGCTCAAGACACTTCAAATTCCAGAGCATTGGGGATTTTGGCTTTTCTAATTCAGGATATTCATCCAGTAGAGTCTAATGCACACATTGGAAAATCCAAAATACTTTAAATCTGAAACACTTTTGGTCCCAAGCATTTAACCTTCACAAATAGCCATATAGCTAGGTATTATTATTATTTCCATGTTTAAAAAGAGGGCATAGGGGCTAGAGAGATGGCTCAGCAGTTAAGAGCACTGGCTGCTCTTGCAGAGGACCTGGGTTTGATTCCCAGCACCCACATGGTGGCAAAAACTGTCCATAACTCCAGTTCCAGGGAAATCTGATGCCCCCTTCTGACCTCCACAGGCATTGCATGACACAGGTGCCCTTACATACATGCAGAAAATACATTCATATACATAAAAAGTAAAAATAACAAATCATTAAAAAAATAAAGAGGAGACGAGGGCTCCAGAGAGCAGCCTCTACTGGATAGCACCCACCATGTCCTGAGTTTTGGCCAGTTGATTTGCGGAGACCCTCAGGCTGGTTCATTGATAAAACTTGTTTAAAAAAGTATTTTATTTATTATTTTATGTGTATGAGTGTATTGCCTACATGCGTGTAAGTGTACCCGTGTCGTGCAATGCTCTCGGAGGTCAGGAGAAGGCATCAAATCCCCTGGAACTGGAGTTACAGATGGTTTTTAACCTCCATGTGGGTGCTGGGAATTGAATCTGGATCCTCTGCAAGAGCAGTCAGTGCTCTTAACCGCTGAGCCATCTCTCCAGCCCCCATTGATGAAACTTTTACTGCACCAGTGGTGCTTCCCATTCATCAAGTGCCAAGTACTGTCTCATGAGAGCTGTTAGAATACTCCAGTCTTTCCAAGGTCTTGAAAAACAGTTCACTCTCTGAGTTACTAACTTTGTGGTCTCTCTTGACACAAAAGCAAGAGACCCTCATCTTCCCCTAGTCCATCAAGGCTGAGATTCTGAAAACAAGAAATACCTAGAGTAGAAGCCCTTCTCTTCCATTTGGGTTGCTTATTAAAGCTAATTAATTTCTAAGTGTTTTGTTCTTGTGACAGTGGATACTGTTGCAAGGAGCCCATCTCCTCCCCATTTCCTGTCTCCTCCATAGCCAGGCACACCTGCTGCAGAGCTAGCTCCTTGCTGAGAGGCAGTCAGTCCACCCCTGTCCTGGAATAACCCGGGGCTGCCTGACTTTCCTGATCCCCTTGGCAGGAGCTGGCGTCATCCCTGTCTGTGTCCCCTGGCCCTTTGCTTCCTCAGCTCCCCCGGCTCCTGGCGGTACGCCGGTCAATTTGTTTTCTCTTCTTGGGTACCCATCTGCCCTCTGTTCATGACTCTTCTCTCTGCCTGGCTTCTCACTTGATACCTGTCTTGACTTTCTCCAACCCTGCTGTTCGCATATGCTCTAGTCACACCTTCATTCATCCTGAATTTGGTTTTTAAATAGGTAACAAATGTGCGTAGTTTAAGATATCAAAACTAAAGAAGATTAGAGTTAAAAAAAATATGAAAATACAGTTAAATGTCTTGCTTTCAAACTCGTCCCTTATTCATTCTAGCCCCTTCTCTCCACCCTAAGGGGAAATACTTTGATGAATTTCTTGTATATATTGCAAAGTCTATGAAGATACACAAAAATATCCATTTTTCCTCTATCATAGATAGAAACTATCATCTGCATTTTCCTTCCTTCCTTCCTTCCTTCCTTCCTTCCTTCCTTCCTTCCTTCCCTTCTTTCTTTCTTTCTTCCTTTCTTTTTGAGACAGAGTCTCCCTATAGCCCCAGCTAACCTGAAATTCACTATGTAGACCAGGCTGGCCTCAACTTCACAGAGATCCACCTGCCTCTGCCTCTGCCTCCTGATGGCTGGGATTTCTGAAGGCATATGCCACCACACCAACCTGCATATGTTTTTTTCTTAAAAGAGTATCTGCTGTAGCTCAGAGTGGCCTTGAATTCGTTATATAGCTGAGGATGACCTTGAACTTCTGATCCTCCTGCCTCTAACTCCTGACTGCTGGGATTACAGGCATGTTCCACGTGTGGTGATTAAACCCAGGGCTGTGTGTATGCTAGGCAAGCACTGTACCAACTGAGCTACCTCTCCAGCCCCTCCTGCATCTTCATTTCTTTTGAATTTAGCAACATATTTTGAGGGTGTCTCCAGGTTTTTGTCCCTTTTTTAACATCCATAGTAAATAAAGTCATGCCTGGACTTCACTGACCAAACTTTCCAACCCTCACTGGTAGACACCTGGAGTTTTCTGGTCTTTCGTGAATAAAAACAACTTTACAAGCCTTCAGAAATTTTACCCATGTACCCTACTTTGCCCCTGTTTCCTTGCTGATCCTTCAAGCCCTTAAGGGCAACATGAATGTGTGTCTTGTCACCTGTGCTGATCTCTCATCTCTGGTCAAGCCCTTTGACCTTGCTGGGGCTGCCTCCTCCTCACTGAATTTAACCTCATCCATATGTAACAGTCTATATTCTAACTTTCCCGTTGCATCCTCCTATTTATTTGATAAGATTTTTTTTTCCCTTTTAGAATAGAAAATATTTCCAATGAAGATCAACAATTCTAAATCTTTCTATTGATTCCATATCATGTCACCTATATCAGTAGTAGACACTAGGTGTTTACTCTGGGCTGGGCACTACTAGTCAGTCTTCAACTATACCAAATCCTGACAATCCATTAATGGGGAACTATCATTTTCCAAAAGAAAATAGTCTCCAGAGCTCAGGTGAGTGAACCAGAGTCACACAGCTGCTCATGAGCAGAGCTGAGGTCTAGCCCAAGTCCACCTGAACCTACAGTGGTCTCATCTGTGGAAATGCAGAGTGAAGGTCAGGTGTCAGCTTGAGTCAGGTCAAGGAGTGGCCATGAAAATTCTCTTTTTACATAACTGGGTCCAGCCCAGGGCCAGCTCAATTCTTTGTGTATTCTCTAGCTTCCAGGAGGATTTCTACTATAATGACACAGCTGGATACTTCATTATTGGAGGGAGCAGGTACGTGGCTGGTATTGAAGGGTTTTTTGGACCTGTGACGTACTATCGCCTCCGCAGTCTGCAGCCTGCACAGGTGAGCCTGGGGGAAGAAGAAATGAGCAGGGAGCATGGGTGATGGCGGGCCACTCCGGGGAGGGAAACCCAGTGTAAACAAAAGATTTACCTAAGCAGACTGGACTGCACATGGGCTCAGCCACCAAACATAATTAATGTTGAGGCTTCCCCCCCAGCCAGCACAATAATAGATTTCTGTTACCGTCTGGTTCATTTAGTACTCATAAAATGGAAACTATTCACTTCCTCTGTTTTAATAACTACTAGCTTAATTATAGAGTAGATTTTTATCAGGCTGTTGCCTATCCAATGATTAAGCTCATGAAAGAAGAGACTCTTAGTTATTTGGTAAAGCTTCTTTTACATACTATTATTTAAAGCATCAGAAGAGGCGATACTCCAGCAAATGAAAGTCTTGGTGTTGGTCTTATTCCCTGCTCTTGACAGAAGCCCAGCTTTGGCTCATGCTGGGGCGTGTGGGCCACAGCAGGCCAGAGTGAAGAGGAAGCTGAAGCTACCGCACCAGAGCTCTCATCACAACACACCCAAGGAGGAATCCAGCCTGCGCCAGCCAGCTTTAGAATGGCAGGGGACAAGGGGCTCCCCAACATGCAGCCTCATGGCAGTCTTCTCTACCCTGCTAAGGAGATTAGGAACCCCATCGGACACCCCAAAAGGGAATGTTCCCTTATTTTCTTGACCCTGTAGGACTTGACTAGAAAAAGCAGGAATCCTTAGGCAAAAGCATAATTAGAACCAATGGGAAGCCTGGCCACCCATGGGTGACATCTTTGAGAGCTCTAGGAAAGGAAATAAAAGAATTCACTTATTCATTGTGCAATAAATACAGAGTACCTACTGTGCATCATATTCTGGGCTGAGAGCCAACGTGAGCAAGACGGATTAGGGTGGCAGCTTTAAAACGTTTCGTTGTTGCTGGGTGTGGTGACCCACACCTGCAATGCCAGCACTTGGGAGGTGGAGACAGAAGGATCAAAACTCAAGGTCACCCTTGCTACAGGGAGAGTTTGAGGCCAGCCTGGGCTATATAAGACCCTATCTCAAAAGAATTAAAAAAAAATTTTGGTTCTGTGGGTTGGACCTAGAGCTTTATATATTCTAGACAAGCTCTCTACCACCAAGCTTGAGCTCCAGCTCTCTTTTCTTTTTAAGTTGTTTTGATCTTATTTTTATTTTATATGTATGAATGTTTTGCCTACACGTATGTAAGTGCACCTATGTGTGTAATGCCTGTGAAGGCCAGAAGAGGCTGTTGGAGCCCCTGGAACTGGAGTTAAGAACAGTTGTTAGCTGCCGTGTGGGTGCCAAGATTCAAACCCAGGTCCTCTGCAAGAGCAGCTAGTGCTCTTAACCACTGAGCCATCTCTGCAGCTCCTTTCTTTTCCTTTCTTCTCCTTTTCTAAAAATTTGAGACAGGGTTTCACTAAGTTGTCCAGGTTAGCCTTGAACTTCTGTATAGTTCAGACAGGCTTTGAACATTCGATCATCCTGCCTCAGTAGCTGGAATTATAGACATGTGTCAACAGACCCAGCTTTTAAAAAGTGTATTTGAAGACAGTTTATTTAATATAATGAACAATGCAAATGTGTATTCACATACAAAACTGATATAAAAATTTTACTAAGAACAGTTGCCCTTGTCCAGTTCAATATGTTCTGAAGTTTTGGATTCTTCTTTATAAAAACAAAACACCACTGCTGGTTACACCCCACTGAACCCAGTCCAGGGGCCTCTCTTGGGTTCAGGCATGCATTTGAAAACACACAGAGTTAAGATTAAGTTCTCTGAGGCCAGACGTGGTGGCACAGGCCTTTGATCCCAGGATTGGGGAGGCAGACGGACCCCTGTGAGTTCAAGGTCAGCCTGGTCTACATAATGAGTTCCAGGCTGGCTGGGGCTACAGGGAGACCTTGGGTTTTTTTTTATTTTAAAAAAAAAGATTAAGTCCCTGGTCCTGAGGGCTCCCTCTTTTGACCTTCAACCTGTTACTCACAGAAGGTCACATGACATGGGTTAATTTCCATGTGTTAGGGTGCACCATGGTGCACATGTGCATGTGGCCACAGTGAGGGCTATAGGGAATTGTATTGTGGAGCAGTGGCCTGCACTGACTCTTGCAAGCTGAGGAGGAGGCTGCCAAGCAGGACAGAGAAGGAGGGTCTCAGGTGGCATGGACAGCTCAGGTAGAATTGGCATCAAAGCTGAGATTTGGAAGTGGACATAAATGCATTTTTCTGGGAACTGCATGGAGAGGCTTCTGTCAGGAGAGGGCGGAGTCCTGGTTTCTGGGTCAGACTGGTGTGTAAGAAGTTCTGCACAAAAGAAGCCAGAGCTGGTGTGGCCTTGGGTTGATCCTAATGACATTAATTTGAAAATTCAGGATGGATGGTAGCTGGTAGCATCATGGGAGGCCTAAGTCAGATGAACACACCTGGATAGATGCCAGCCCATGGCCATTTGATGGCGACTGTAGCTAATACACGTTTCTTGCCTTCCTCTAGGTCCTTAATCCCTTCCACGAGAGGGAACTGGCTGAACAGATCAAGTTATATTATGAGCGGTGTGCTGAGGTTCAAGAAATAGTATCTGGATATGCTTCAACAGTGCAGGTCGGGAATGAGAGACCAGAGGCGTGTAAGTATGGAGCCTCGAGAGGGGCTTTTTAAGCTCTGCGTTTGCATTAACATGTTTGACTTCTCTCTGCGGGGACTAAAATAGAACATGTACCATGTATGACTTGGCCCACACAGATGCCAGCGGGGACAGCTGTACCTCAAACCTCCACAGATGGAATGAAAATGCACATTCCACCTGGATTTAAAAAAAAAAAAGTACAACAGATAAGAACCAAACATGGGGGAGAACAGAAGAGTGAGCGTGTTTTGAACTTTGCACGGCATTATTCCTACCTAAAAGGCAGATCTAAAAATATGAAAATGAATTGGAAAATCAATTCACCATTAGAAAAGTTTCTACATCAGTGTATCTTGGGCCATGAATATCTGAACAATGACTTTGCTTTCTGAGGCCCCATTTTATTTTTTAAATCCTTGAAATCAACTCAGGAAGGCATCGGTAAATTAGGATAGAAGGAATGAATCATGAACAGATTGCTTTTGCTGGCCTCATGTCCCCCTGACCTCCTTTTCCTCACCCAGGGTGTAGACAGAGCTTCATTCTGTCCTGTCACCCAGCCTCCCAGCTTCGATTTAGCACTTGTGAATTTCTCCGTGCTATACCAATCCTTATTTGATGTGGTGGCACTAGAGTTAGTCACATATTTTCTTTCTGGAAAAGAAATTCCTGGGGAGAGTTTGGCTTCAGCAAGAGCGAATTCAGTATCGCAGCCCTGCCTGTCTGGTTCTTGGCTCCCAGAGCAGAACTTCCTGTCCCAGGCTTGGGGGTGGGGGTTGCTCAGATGTGTCTTATCATACTCCAGTCTGATATGGTCATACATTAGTCAGGGAGGGTGACAGGTGGCTGAAAGGTCAGCACTCCTAGAGTTCTATTCAAGAGTAGATTATTGGGCCAGCAATGTGGCTCACTGAGTAAAGGTGACTGCCACCAAGCCTGCCAGCCTAAGTTCAATCCCCAAGACTCCACATAATAGAAGAGATTCAACTCCCACAAGTTGTCCTCTGACCTCCACTAGAACACTGTGGTACACATGTAAACCCACCACCTAAGAAACACACACACACACACAAACACACACACATATTTTAAAAATTTAATTTTTTTAAAAAGTAGACTATTTGGATTGAGGAGATGGCTCAGTCGGTAAAATGTAGGCAAGCATGAGGACGGACATTCAATGCTCAGAACCCACATAAAATACACTGGGCATGATGTCAGCTGCTTATAATCTCAATGCTGAGGAGGTGAAGACAGAAGGGTCCTTGGGTCTCAGTGGCAAGCCAGGCTAGCCTAAGTGGTGAGCTCTAAGCCAATGAGAGATGATCTCAAAGGGTAGGTGACATTTCTGAGGACGACACAGTTGTCCTCTGGCCTCCACATGCACTTGTACACATGTGTATGCACACCCTCATGCATGTGCATCCTCTCCCCATATACACACATATGCATAAAAAGAATAAGCTGTCCTAGTTCCCAGCTGCTGTGTTTGCTGCTGAATCATCCAGAAACTATGATGCTGCCAGGAATAGGGCAGAAGCTCAGGAATAGCAATGTCCCAAAGAGGAAACTGATTTGAATAACTTACACAGAGCCAAGAGCAAGACCTGGAGTCAGAAGGCCAGCCCTGCACGCCGACCTGTTTGGTGGCACTAGGGACATTTTCCTAATGTGTTCAGCTGTCTCGCCTCCCTGGGGACTCCTGGGTCCTGCTCTTCAACACACATGCCAACAAAATGGCCTAGATACTGGCCTCCCAGGGGCGAGTCAGAGGCCAGCTGCTCATTCTGTAGAATTAGTCAACAGCCATCAGCAACTTTGGCAAATTTCCCTTGGACTCAACTCCAAATGTTGACCTCCAGGCACAGGCAGCATCACGGCCAATTTCAAATCCCTGAAGGACCCAAGCCAAGTCCAGGAGCATGAAGCTTATCTTCTTATTCCTAGCTCCTCATGGGAAGGGCAATGTCAATAGGGGGTGATGTCTTGTGTTTCTGTGTAGGTGACCTCCAAAACTCCTACCTGGACCTCAGGCGCAGGTACGGGAGACCCTCTGTGTGCAGACCCTTCCCCTGGGAGAAGGATCTAAGAAACAAGCACCCCAGCTTGTTCCAGGCGCTGCTGCAGATGGAACTGCTGACCGGTAACTGAGCCCCTGCCTAGGAATTTTGTGCTGACTAGACAGGCGCCCTGCTTTCCTATCTCACTCATTCTTGGTGATTTATGCCTCCATGTTATTTTTAACCCTAGTGTTCTAGTTTAATTTCAGATTTAAATTCTGCCCTTGTGTGTCCACAATGCTGACTATATCTGAGCACATTTCCAAAAACTTAAATTTAGGAACCACTCAAGCAGTTCTTTATATAAAAGCCAGGACCACAAATGGACAGCCCGCCGCCAGAGCTGGCCTCCAAATGGAGTGGGTTTGCAAAATACCTTTTTGTGTATTTCAAAAGAATTTAATTATCGGTATCTTAAAACTTGCAGAAAAATGTAAATTTCTAGCTTTTCTTGAAAAATTCAAATACTGGCTGCCCTGGGCTTCTGTTCCTATAGACAGGCAGTGATCCTGGAGGTAAGGCCCAGACCCAAGCATGCTGTCTGCCCACAACCCCCTTTCCCTGCTCCCTACCACCTGGCTTCTACCTTCATGGATCTGACCTGCTGGGCCTTTAAGCACTTGAACTTGTGCCTCCTGATTTGAAGTGCATTTCAGTTGTCTGTCAAGGATTTGCATATCCTTTCAGGATGCTGACAGTTATTCCTTAGACCCACTACAATTTGGGTTTGCTTAATTAACTATACACTGTAGGTCCACAGGGGATCTTGAAACTATGCCTGTTAGAAGGAGGAGATTGTCATATGGGGGAAAGAGCACAAAGGAGGTGTAGCTGTCCTGGTGGTTAAAAGATCCATTGTGTTCCTGACACAGAACCAGCCCTTGAGTCAAGGTGATTTGACACTGACCTTGGAGTGCCAGTGCCCTGAAGCACCGACTTTCTTTGCATGTAGTGACTTTGCACATTCTGGAAGAATTCAAGCTGTACAGGATACTTGGTCTTTTATTCTTCAAGGCTGGCTGAGGGACAGCTCAGTTATTTGGCTTGACTGTAGAGATGAGTGAATTGACAGGACCCCCCCCCCGCCCACCTTGTGTGGTGATGTGCTTAAAAGCAAAGGCAAACTATAAGTCATTTTAGTAAAATCCTTGGAGACGAAGGAGCAAAGCAGGGGGTGGTTAGTTCTAGACTCAAATGTTCTGGGAGGGCTTCCTGGAGGAGGATTGCTTTTTGAGATGTTTGCCAAATAAGAGAGGCAGGGATGGATGCTGGAGACAGGGAGGAGGGAACAGCATAATGCGTTTAGTGACCCTCATAGGACAGAAAGCCAGAGATGATCCAGAGAGGGAGGAGCTCAGCTCAGATATGTCTGGCTTTTCCTTGTAAGTGGGGCTCTGGGCCATAGGTAGAGAGTGCAATTACGTGGGTTTTTCTGAGGTTATTCTGGCAGCATCTGGGGGTGGGGGCAGAGGTGAGCTGAGCTGGAAGGGTGTGAGTAAGGAGGGGAATCACAGGATCCTAGGACAGGAGGATGGACAGGGTGATGGAGACAGAGCTAAAGGATGTGACAAAGGTGGCCCCGAAGGACCCATGGCTGCTGGGTGAGGGGAGGAATGCCATGCCCCGTGACACCATGGTCTCTGGAGCTGGTGACCTGCTTCCAGGTCCTTGATTCCACTGAGCCCTAGTTTCCTCATCTACACAATGGGCTGATGGTAGTCCTTCCCTCCTGATGCTGACTAAGCAAGCTGACGTGCTGGACTGTATAGTTCAGTGACACAGCACTTGCCTAGAATGTGCAAGGCTCTGGTTTTGAGCCCCAGCACTGAACAACAACAAAGAAACAAACAAACAAAATCACTCAGGATTCAGTAACCCATTAAAAGCAATGTCTCTCAACCCCAACACTGTACTCATTTGGCCTAGAAAGTTCTTTGTTTCTGGGTCCTCAAATACATTGCAGGATATTTTGCTCTATTTTCCCCCACCCACTAATACAAGTAGTATCCAGCTGTCTCCTCAAAAAGCACCTTTACAGTGTCCGATCCCAGGGTGCCTGAGGAAACCATGCCACTCCGAATGCTGTGGTGACAAGCACAGATACCCCAGGTCCTCCCTGCCCTACCAAGAGCTGGTGGAGCGGCTCTACTCCTAAGATAAGGAGAGGGAAGTGTGTGGTGAGCATTGAGTTCAAGCTAAGCTTCCCACCACAAACTCATTTCTGTGGTTTCTAATCATAGTTAAATATAGTTTTGCCAGTTGGGAGAAAGGGTGAGAGGTTTTCACAATACATTCTTTTTAAAGAAAATACTCCCAGTAAGAATGTTTTCATGTTATTTTTACAGTTCCAGGTTTTGTTTATAAGAATTTAGGACCATTTTATTCTCCATGGAGGCCTGGAAATAGAATCTAATGAAAAACTCAAATCATGAGCTCTGCAGCAGTTAAGATGCTGGTCCCTACTGCTGCAGAACCTTTGATTCTAGCACGTTCCACTGATCAGAGCCAGGCTGCTGTGGCTTTCGTGAGTGGTGGGAGGAGGGGCCCCAAAGCCGGAAGTGCCACATCAGGACCTACTGTGCCAGATCTGCCAATCAAGCACACATTCCAAGACAAATGAAAACACCCAGGAGCTCCCCACTCTCTCAGGAACTGTGTCTCCCCTGAGACCACGGCCTTAGCTGGGGCCACAGCCAACGGTTGCCCCCTTTGTCTCCCCCTGGAAACCTGAGAGCAGGCTAGAGGGAGAGTGGAAGGGATGGTAAAGCCCCAGATCCAAAGTTCCCTTCAGCTGCAGCACCTGCTGTCTATGCTGCGTGGGAAGAACCTGGGAACGTCCTGCAGAGGCAGGGCACGCACTTCTTCAAATTCATCTCTGCCTGGCATGGTGCCCTTGCTTGGGGCTGTAATAACATCTTCCCCCTAACCCAAGACAGAGATTGGTGTCACATCTTGTACCTAGCTTCCTAACAAGGTTGAAAAAAAAAAGCAGAAAACTTGATTTTATAAATTGAAGGTAGAAAATCAGTTTACATGTTTAATGTCTCTCTGCTGTGGTCTTTTGTCAAAAAAATGACAGTAAGGCTGCTGTCCCCTGTCTCTTGAATCCCCTCCCTGCCAAGGTCATCCTTATGTTAGTGGCTAGCTAGCCTCAGCATGCTCCTGAAAACTCATTTGTAGGAAATGTGTCCACATTCGCTTTTCTGCTGTCGCCCTGGCATGTCTTGTCTTATTGATTGGTAGACTTGATTAGAACTCCCCTCACTATGGTTTGGATGTGGCTCATGTATTGGAGGCTTGGTCACTAGTGTGGCATTGTGGGAAGTAAGGAAAGCTTTAAGAGGTATGGGTTAGGGGCTGGGGAGATGATTCAGTCGATAAAGTGCTTGTCATGCAAGGATGAGGGCCTGGGATGAGGGCCTGATTCCTAGCACCCATGTGAAAGGTTGGACATGGTGGCCTGTCATCCTAGAGCTGAGCAGGTAGAGCCAGCAGGATCCCTGGGGCTTCCTGGCCACTTTGTCTTGCCAGATTGGTGAGGTCCAGATTTGATGAGAAACCCTGTCTCAAAAATAAGGTGAAAAGAGGTTAAAGAAGACACCTGACATCAACTTCTGGTCTCCACACACCCATGCACACTTGTGCATACACCACGCATGCAAAAGAGGTGGGGAAGCCGGGTGTGGTAGTACACACCTTTAATCCCAGCACTTGGGAGGCAGAGGCAGGTGGGTCTTTGTGAGTTCAAGGCCAGGCTGGTCTCCATAGTGAATCCAGGCCAGCTGTGACTACAGGGAGACCCTGTCTCAAAAAGATCAAAAACAAAAACAAACAAACAACAACAAAAAATACCACACACAGAATGCAAAAGAGATGGGACTAGTGGTAAGTCCTTCAGTCACTGGGGGCACTGACCTCAGAAGCCATTAAGGTTTCTCTCCTGGGTTCTCTGAGCTCTAAAGAGGCTGAATTATTATGAGTAAATTCAGCCCCTGACTTGATCTCCCACTTACTGTTTGCTATCTCTCTTTGGCACAAGCTCCCACCCTGAGATGATCCCAGGGCCAAGCTGATGCCAGCAACATCCCCTTGAACATCCAGAACAGTGCCTTAAACCAAACCTCTTTCCCTTACAAAATTACTGTGCTATTCACTACTATTTCACTATAGTAGTACAAAGCAGACTGACATGCATGTCTTACTGTCTTCATATCTGAGATGAACTATGGAAATGGACTTGAGTGTCAGATGTTTAATGCTTGGAATTCTTGCTGTAGGGATGGAACAGGTATAAAAGATAAGGCTCAGTGAGTGTATTCTTAACTAATGCACAAACTTTCATTCCCTTATTCACAAAACTTATTGGTTGAGTGTCCTCATGAGCCAAGAGGATCAAAGAATAAGTCTTGTTTTTTTTTTAATGTATTTAAATTTTTTTGATTGACTTATTTTTATTTTATGTGTATGAGTGTTTTGCCTACATGTATATAAGTGCACCTATTCAATCAATGCCCATGGGGGTCAGAAGAGGGTGTCTGATCCTCTAGAACTGGAGTCATGGATGGTTGTTAACCAACTTGTGGGTGCTGGGAACCAAACGTGGGCTCACTGCCAGAGCACCCAGTGCTTTTAACCATTGAGCCGTCTCTCCAGCATCTAAAAATATTTTTTATTTCTGTGTATGTTGTGTATGTGTGGACATGCATGATATGGGTCACATATAGAGGACAACTTTGTGCAATTAGTTCTCTCCTTCCATCCATAATAGGTTTTAGGAATCAAACTCAGGTCCCCAGGCTTTCACAGCAAGCACCTTTACCAGCTTTTTGAAAGAAAAGTTTTTGCTTTTTTCTAATGTCCCTGGAGATTGAACCCAGGGTGTTGTGCATGCTGGGTAAATAACTCCATCACTGAGTCACATCACCAGCAAGGCGGTGTCTTGAATGAGTTAGTTAGGCCAAAAGACAAGATAAACGACAACTCTGTTTCCCCCAAAGGAATTGATTTGTGGAACTATTCTTCCTGGGGTTTTTAACAAAGATGGCAGGAGACATGCACTTCTCACATTTTTTGAGGAGTCTCC